GCACCCTCACTTTCACTCTTCCTCTTCCCTGCTTCTTTTTGTCCAAATAGGAGACATACAGATTTAAAACCAGCACAACTGATTTCTGGGGGGTTTTTGTTTGGGTTTTTTTTTTTTTTTTTTGAGATAGTTAAATGCTTTTCTCTGCTCTTCCTGGACGGTTTACTCAATTCTTCATGTCATTGCTGTATGTGGGGACAGCTGTGGGTGTGGTTTGCATCTCCACCATAGTTTAAGCTGATGTCAGTGGTACTGCTGTAGTCCTGCCGTGCCCTCTTCCTCAGGCTGCATGTTCCCACCACTCCTACTTGCAGGCACTGAGGCTCTTCTAACCCTTTGGGTCCCCCCTTTGGCCAGGACCCCAGGGTCCTGGGCTGGCAGAATCCAACCACACAGCAGCAGCCCGATGCCCTCAATAATTCAATGGGCATCTGGGGAGGGCTGCTGTTTGTGGAGGGAAGGGCTAGGAACATGTGCAGGATGAGAAAAAATTCTGTGGAAAGAGAGGTGGGACTCAAGCTGGGTTGCTCTGGATTGGTGTCTGCTGTCACAAACTGCACCTGGAATTACAAGTGCCTTAAAATACTAGCAAAGGGATTCTTCAAGTTGCTTTCTGCAGATACAGAGCCAAATTAAGAAATGTATCTTGCATGTGAAGACAAAGGTGATGCTGGAAATCAGATTGCATGAATCTCACGACCGTACCTTAATCATAACATTTCTTCTTCCACTTGGATCTGTCTGTGAGGGAGACTGTGGCAGAATCCAGATGTAAAGAAACCACTTAAAAATTAAACCAAACGTACATCATAAAGACTTAAATAGAGTCAGTCTAGATTTATCTAAGCTGTTTGTGTGGTTTGGTACTGTACCAGTTACAGACTGTCTGCCTAGATTGTGTTTACCAGTTTGTCAGAGTGGTACAGTATAGTGTTTTGGAATACAATCAAATCTTTTCCAAATAATATGAAATAATGGTTGTAATATTCAAGCAGTAATATTTTGATTTAGATCTTTAGTTGTTTGGCAGCAGAAAAAGCTATATTATGTTTAGATTTTTTTTTTCTTCTTCTCTTTCCTGGGGTTCATTTTTAGCATTTGCCACTTTTGCTTTTTGTCAAGTCCCTACAGAATTATCAAGGAGTGTTAATTTGCAGTTAGTGATCTTTGAATAACATGGCCAGCTTCACACAAGCTTAGCATGACCATTCCCTGGTATCTTGCAATAACAGAAAGTCCTCTTTTTATGTGTGTGTGTGTTATTATTTGCTGAGGTAAAATCATGCACAAAATAATTGCTGGTGAGCAGCTGTGCAGATGGCCACATGGGATCAGATCTAGCTAGAGATAGTTGTCTTTCTTGTTCATGTGCTTATTAGACTTCTCCAAAGCTTTGAACAGGTGTAGGAGGCAAGACTTTCTTCCCCCAAAAGCTGTGCTGGCTGTTCCTCAATGTATTCCATTTATCATCCTTACTCCTGGTATTCATTGTTATGGTTTTTACCCATTTGTTCAGTGTGGATGTTGGAACTGCTGTTCTGTAGCTTCAGCTCAGTAGATCCCTCTACAGTCTTTGCTGAAGTTTCACATCTGCTGCTTTCTGCTGCTCTGGAGATTAGACTATGTTTAATATTTCAGCTTCTTTCAGTTTCTTTACAGTTCTTGGAAAATAGCATCTGATCTTTGTGATTTGTTACTGGTGCTTTTGTAGATTTTGTTACATATTTTCTGTTGATATTTGAAATACATCTTTCAGTGTGTGCCATGTTAGAAAGCTCCTGCTGTGTTTCCTTCACCAAAGGCAGAAGAATCTGTGATTGGTTTAATGTTCGTCTGTTTGTTGTTTTTTTAATTAATGTTCAGCTCTGGCTGGGTGCAGCACTCGTGGCTCTCCCCCTCTCAGCTGTATCTGGCACCTGAGGGGGTACAGATAGTATCCTCCCTGGCTAGCAAGCAAGAGTTCCCTCCCTGCCTGGCAGTGCGCTTACCTTCTTCAAAAAGCAAATAAACCACAAAAGGCTTTTCTAGTTGTGACTTCAAGAAATATTTCCTGCTATTATCAGCAAAAAGAGATAATTGGGAGGGCTTGCTTCTAGTCCCTTAGTGTCTGTGGTTACAGCACAAGTTCCTCTGCTCCTTAACGGAGTGAGAGTTCAATTCCCATTTCCCAAGTGGGACAGTGTCATTTTTCTCCAGGCGGTGCCTGTGCCTTTCACCACGTGGGCAGTGGATGGTGCTGTTGTTCTAAGTAATCTCATGCAGACGATGGTGGTGCTCAGGATTATCTCATTCTTTCTAAAATCACTTGCTTAATGGTTTGGGTTTTTTTGTACTTTTTTCAGATTGCTTTCTCTGACATCCTCAACCTAAATCGCGGGCCAGACAGGCAATTCAATTTTTTTTATTGTTGTTATATTTTCAGAATTCTTTAATATAATCTTGTTTTTAGTATGAAATGAGAGAGCACTGACGTGTGGGGAATAATGAACAATATACATTGTTAGCAATAGAAGCTGGGTTTATGCACATGACATCTTCCTTAAAGTTGAATGTTTACCTTCTACAATCTGAACATACTCAATAGCCACTATTCCTCCCCAATCACAGGTATGAGAAGTTAGAAAATAAATTTTTGTTAAACTCATGCATTTACGACTTCTGAGTTCACAGAATCACAGAATGTTAGAGATTGGAAGGGACCTGAAAAGATCATCTAGTCCAATCCCCCTGCCGGAGCAGGACACCTAGATCAGATCACACAGGAACGCATCCAGGCGGGCTTTGAATGTCTCCAGAGAAGGAGACTCCACAACCTCTCTGGGCAGCCTGTTCCAGTGCTCTGTCACCCTCACCGTGAAGTTTTTTCTCATGTTCAAGTGGAACCTCCTATGTTCCAGCTTGAACCCATTGCCCCTTGTCCTATCACTGGATGTCACAGAGAAGAGCCTGGCTCCATCCTCCTGACACTCACCCTTCACGTATTTATAAACATTAATTAGGTCACCCCTCAGTCTCCTCTTTTCCAGGCTAAAGAGACCCAGCTCCCTCAGCCTTTCCTCATAAGGGAGATGCTCCATTCCCTTCATCATCTTTGTGGCTCTGCGCTGGACTCTCTCCAGCAGTTCTCTGTCCCTCTTGAACTGAGGGGCCCGGAACTGGACACAATATTCCAGATGCGGTCTCACCAGGGCAAGGAAGAGTTCTGCCTTCCAAAAGCACAGCTGAGCAGGCAAGCCAGGAAGGAAAGGGACACTCACCATGACAATCCCATCTTACTTTATTACTTTATGACAGTCTCACACTCAAAATGTATTTCCCATGTCAGAACTGACCAAGACAGCCCCTTTCTTTTGAGGGGAGAGGTGAAAAGGTTTCTGGGCAGAGGGTAGAAAAACATTAATGCATGTATTTGCATAATGGTCTGTAAAATGTGGTTGAATAGTGAATCAAAATTGGCTTTTTTGTTCTGAGGCTGTAATGCATTTTCCACTCTAGTAACGTGTACTAGCTCCAGTGAAATACATGAGGCTGTATGGTGGTACCCCGAGAGACTTATATTCTGTAGCTTACAACCTTCTGGAACTTTGAAAAATAAATGATTTAATAGGTGACAGATATTTACCCTGCTCTGTGAAACCCTGCTCAATAAATAAGTACAGACAAAAATGTGAAGGAGACTTCCATGGAGACTAAGAAAATGTGATATTGTTTTGAATTAAAATTGTTAGGAAAATGTTAGGAGGTATAGGATTTTCTAGATTGTTATATAAAAACAACGGAAACAGGCACTCAGAAAGTGAAATGCTAACATATTGGTACAATGCATAATAAGCAAGATTGAATTAGATTTTATTAATAAATTTATGTAAATTAATATGATATGTATT